ATAAAGAAATTCTAAGCTATGCTATCCTATAGATTGTCATTATTATGGTTTTATCATGTTTCAGGGCAATGAATGGAAATAAAACATAAACTCAATGTTGAGGTATCAAACATTTATTCCACAAATCAAACATAAAATCCACATGACTTACAAACAGGGAAACGGGGCTCTTTGGCATAAAACCGCAGTTTCAAAATACATACATCTTAACTTGACTTGTAAAAACATAGTGGTTTCATCAGTGCTTTCAGAAAGCAATTACAATTTGCTTTTGATATATAAATTGAACTGAATGGTTTATATTAGACAGTTAGATTGTACGAGCAACATACAAGCTTTCCATTTGTCCTTCTAGTTCGTATTAAATCTCATACTGCAAAACACTGTGTTGAAACAAGGGGTTAAAGCTCTTCTTTCTTCTTGAGGATTATCTGCCGTACCATTTCAGCTACTTTAGGTCGGATTTCTTTCACAGACACTTTTGGTCCCCATGTGTCCACCACTTTGCCATTAACATCAATCAGATACTTCCAGAAATTCCAGTCAGGTTCTTTTCCAGAGGCCTCTGCAGAAAGTGAGAGAAGAAGAAAGAAAGAAAAGTTTTAAAACATTCTGTGCAGTACATTGCATTGTCGTCCTATCTTTCTCGTCCCCCTGAATTGTCTTTCTTACAGTAAAGAGCCACTGGAAGTGAAATAATGGTGACACACCTCTGAATAGTTTACACAACTTTGTCAATTTAATGTTTCTTTGTATATGGATTCCTGGAAGTCTGCAGACATTTGTCAGATTAAACCCTTCGGATGCACAGCGGTTTCATTATTTATGTCCTTTTTTCAGAGTTTCCAAGGACATTATGCACTTTATGCAAAATATTAAAATGTTTCAATTTAAAAAAGCTTTGACTCTTTTTTTCTCACATCACTGATCGCTCACATCTTTTGCTTTCCCACAATGCCTTTAGAATTGATTATCTTCTTTTACAGAAAGTAAACAGGGTGTGAACTTGTGTGCACCATCAGTGGAATTGAATGAATCCTTCCTTTTGGCTCTGCTATTGTTTGCTGACTCACAACATACTGTGCCTCTTCTTCTCCCACCAGCATTTCATGTCACTCACCAACGAGGTACTTGTAGACATTGTTGGCTCCAGTTCCGACGACAGCGATTTTACTGAACAGGGGAAAGGAGACGCCGTAGACCCTGCGGACAAAGCTGTCAATCTCCTTGTCGCTGCCGGGCTCCTGCTGCCCAAACTGGTTGCAGGGGAACGCCAGCACATTGAAGTGATATGGCCCAAAGTCCCGCTGGAGCTGCTGAAGGTCTTTGTAGTGTTCCTCTGTGAAGCCACATTCACTGGCTACATTCACCACCAGCGACACCTGAAGCCACAGAAACATACTGTAAAACTAAAACAAGGGGACGAGGGGAGCGTAAAGAGCTGTTTCACACCTGTGATGTATCAACCATGTTCTATACACATCATCCCTTTGTTTCTAAGCATGTGTTTATAGCTCAGATATGAATACATTTCAAATAAGGACAGTTTTCTCTGAGCTGCAGAGAAAAACAATACTTTACTTACTTCATTTGCAGCAATGTAAAACAGACAAACAAAATCTCCTCACACCGCAGAAGCTGGAGCCAAAGAACAATTTATGTGTGCTTGAAAAATGACTTAAACTATTAAACAACATTCAACTTTTTATTTAATACATCTTCTGCTGTTCAGCATATCACTGTTAATTATTAAAGGTTCAGTGTGTAGAATTTAGTGACATCTAGAAGTGAAGTGTCATGTTGCAGCTGAACACTCCTCACATACTCCTAAAAACTCAAAAGATTTAGTTTGTCCGGTTAAGGCTACTGTAAAAAAAACATGGTGGCCTCCGTAGAGAGGATCTGCTCCTGATGTAAATATAGGGTTAGTATTTAAATATAAAGTATTTAAATATAAAAGGGCCCATTCTACAGTAAAGAAAACAACAATTCGTACAATTTAGGTGAAACACACTAATGAAAAAATCCTTAGGATTATTTTATATAAAATTTCTGCCAATAGATCATTTCACCTAAATTCTACACACTGGACTTAATAACGAGCTAATAAGTGATTTATTAGTGTTTATCTTACATGTTAGTGCAGAGTTCACAGAGAGATCATGCAGGTTTCTACATGTTTCAGCTTCATGCTTCAGCTCACTCAGTACAGGAGAGTTTGGACAGAAGAGCAGCTCATCACTGATGATAAAATAAGTTGATGCATTTTCTGATTTCATCGTCCCTCAGTGTGACCGCACACCCACAGACTGATGATCCCATCATCTAGGGAAGCAATTCAAAGTCGGACAAATCTGAAAATGAACCTTGGGGTTTAAAGGACATATATTCTGCTCATCTTCAGGTTGTTAACTTTAATCTTAGTGACTATGTGAGATCACGCGATATGACAATGATGCAGACGTATGGGCTGGACTTCTGACGAGGTGTTTCAGGAGCTTGTCTGTGGAGGAGAGGAGCTCCCTTCACCACAGACTATTTCATTTAATATGTATGTTACAGTAAATAGAAAACACACTGCATAATAAGTGCTTTAAAATCTGTGCCTAACTTTGTGGTCATTGGGAGAATTTGGAACCATGTATGTGAGAGACTATAAGGTCAGTCAGGAGGATACAAGTTTTGAAAAGGTCAGGTAGGAAAACTCAAGTCTCTCCTTGTGTAAAATAAATCCTGTGCTGCCCACAAATGTATGCTTTTCTACTTTTCTCTATTCTGTTTATTGTCATTTGATGTCTTTTGAAATGATTGCAGCCCAGGATTTCATTCATCAGGGACCAATGAGACACAAAATGGATATTTGTCTGTGACTGTTTCTCAATTGTGTTGTGGAATACTTATATTATATATACTAATATTACAAGAATAAAGTCACAATTTAAGAGTTTCAATATTACGAAAACATTTATTGATTAAGAGGTTTAATTTTACGAAATTATATGTGAAAAAAAGTTTGAAAATATTACAAGAATAAAGTCACAATTTAAGAGTTTCAATATTACGAAAACATTTATTGATTAAGAGGTTTAATTTTACGAAATTATATGTGAAAAAAAGTTTGAAAATATTACAAGAATAAAGTCCTAATTTAACAAGGGGGAACATTTTACATTAAGAGAATAAAGTCGGAATTTAATGGAAGAATATGACGAGAAAATATTTTATTTAACCAAAAAAACTTTGAACATTAAAAAAACAACGGTTTGAGTAAAGTGGCTCCTGATAAATGTGTTTCTTTGGTAAAAGGCTTCAGTACCTGCTGTGAATGGAGACTCTGCTGCTCAGGCCTGATGCCACGTAGACCAGCGGGGCTGCGTGATGGGACATCAGCTGGTCCTCTGTCTACAGGGTTAGTTACTACACAGTCAGACAGGACACATGGGACAAGAAGAAGTTCCCATGAAGAGGTCATCCATGCAAAGAGACATGCAGAGAGAGAGAGAGATAGATAGAGAGAGGGAGAGAGTCTGTGGTAAAGACTCACCGAGCCTCGGTACTTCTCCAGAGAAACTAACTTCCCTCTGCTGTTCACCACTTTGAAGGTGTACAGGTCTTTGCTTTTGCTCTCAGAGGAGCTGAGAACAGCCAGGAACACGGTGAGAAGCCCGGGGAGCATCATCTTCTCTGTCTCTTCCCTGCGAACTGTTAAACCACCACGTACCAGACTCTTCAGATGAAGTCTGTGGTACCAGAGGTTCTGCAGCAAGTCCTGCAGGACTGTGGGCTGCGCTTCAAAATAAAAGCCCCCGTTCACTTCCTGTGTCACTTCGTCATTCCCCACAAGAAACCAACCAAATGAGGTTTATCAAGTTAAGTCAGGGGAAAGAACAGGGAGCAGCTGTGTTCGCTACCAGGGCCTTATCGAAGAAAACGAATAGGAGATTTAGATTTTAACAGTGAAAAAGTTTGAATAATACAAGAATAAATTCACAATTCAGCAACAACAACGTTTTTAATAAAACAAGAATAAAGTCAGAATTTAACGATACAAAAGTTTTAATAATACAAGAATAAAGTCACAATTGAACAATTACAACGATTTCAATACAAGAAAAAAGAAAGAGAGAGAAGAGAAAGAAAGAGAAAAAGAAAGAGAGAGAAAGGAAAGAGAAAGAAAGAAAAAGAAAGAGAGAGAAAAGAAAGAGAAAGAAAGAGAGAGAAAAGAAAGAAAAAGAAAAAGAAAGAGAGAGAAAGAAAGAGAAAAGGAGAGAGAAAGAAAGAGAGAAGAAAGAAAGAAAGAGAGAAAGAGAGAGAAAGAGAAAGAGAGAAAGAAATACTATGAATACACAGTTGTCCTTGAACGCAGCACGCCCCTCTTCATCGCCACTGTAAGTCCCAGCATGCAGCGCGGTGATGAACTAACATGGCGGCGGTTGTTGTGAGCGGGGCCGTGGGACCAGAAAAACAAGACGAGCAGCGGAAGCTCGGAGGCAGTTAAACCGTGACACCAGAACAGCTCCGCGGCTGCAGCGTGACTCCCTTCCAGCTCCCGCGGGTCGCGTCGGCACCGGACTTTTGTTCCCGGTGGTTTTAACGACTCGGTTCCGGGATTATTTATTATCACAGCCGGACCGGGCTCAGCGGCTAACTGCAGCTAGCTCAGCCGGGGCAGCTAGCGGAGGAGGCGGCAGAGCGGAGAGCGGAGAGCCGCCTGGGTGTCACCGTGAGTCCCTCACACAGCACGGGGATCCGCTTCTGGTTTTAATGGTGAGCGTCTGATTGAGTCGATCTTCTTCGTGTGCTTTGGTTTGTGTCGAAGTCTGCCCCCCCCCCCACCCCTCTTCATGCAGCTTCCGTCTCACCTGAGCCTCACTCGGCTCCGACACCTCCACAACAACGGAGCCAAACCTCCGCGAGCCTGGACTCAGGTCCCCATCGCTGCCCTGCTTCTCTTTCGGTGTGTTTGAGTTCAGCAGCTGCGGACAGTAACTCAGTGCAGTAGCTGCAGTACTTGTACTTCACTTGTTTCTGTTACACGCGACTGTATTTGTCTGATTCTCTCCTCGGACATTCTCAGCTCAAGATATAAAAAGACAACACCTGGGAAACAGTGAACTCTTGTTCCGTTAGCTTCTAATTATAACGATGAGAACTATAGCAACAAAAACAGCAACGGGCCATCTCTCTGCACAATAAGTACTTTTAACAACAAGAGCATGTGTGGACGATTCACGTGTACTTTTCCTTGTATTTTTACACGAGTATATTGTTACTCAAGTCTCACCTGAACCTACTTCAGCCCCAATCCCCTCAATTAAGATGACGATGAAAACAAAGCAATAACTTAATACACTAAATCACTGCTCTAATTCTCTGTCCGTATTTGTACTACAGGATTGAGGTATTTGAGCTCAACTATATTTATTATATGCTGCTGTCTACTTGGGGGTGTAACAGAATACGCTTACTTCTGTACTGTACATAATATAATATAATAGTCAGTGATTAAATCAACACTTGGAACAGGTGTAAAACAGTTTGTTCCATAAAAACCAATGAGGTTTGTGAAAACACAAATAAGGCAATTATGTGGCAAATTTGTAGAAATCTCATGTTGCAAAATTTAGTTTTTTCTTCTCTGCTCTGCCATCAGTCATTGAAAGACCATTTAGATTTATCTGGTTGTCCGATAGGGCTCAGCATCTTGATTTGGACCCACTGCACTGAACTTGCTGACTGTAAATAAAGAAGCTCAGTTGTGTTTTCTAGAACAGTTGTGGATATTTTCCTTTAATTGTCCTGAGGGCCTGTGTGTAAAAAATGTCTGAGAAGGGCTGAAGAGGCTGTTCACGCATCACTGCATCAGTATTAAAAATCTAATTATGTCATTAAGTCCCTTTTAAAACAAAACAAGACAAAAAAAACTATTTTGAGTCCAATTCATTTGATTATAACTCTGAAGACATTAGAGTTTAAGATCAGTAGAAGATGATAAGATAAGATAAGAGTTCAGATTTTATTTTCTGGTTTAATGGCTTCAGACTTATACTCTTGTATCACACCATACCACATTTATCTGAGCAAAAGTAAAGGAGCAGTTTGTCTTCATGAAACTTTAAGTAAAACATTTCATATTTGGTTGCATAAGCTTTGCCTGCAATAACTGTGTCAAGCCTGTGACCCCCTGACTTCACCAAACTGTGGCATTCTTCATTAGTGAAGCTTTTCACTGCAGTTCAGTTTCCTCTTCAGGAGCTGAAATGCTGCTCTGTTGTGTTCAGCGAGTGACTTGGCCGTTCGGAAACCTTCCACTTTTTCCCCCTGATGAAGCCCTTTGTTGTGTTAGTGGGTCATTGTCGTGCTGCATGATGAAGTTTGCATCGTTTCTCTGTAAACTGGCAGACAAAATGTTTCTGTAGACTTGTGAATGCATTTTGAAAGCCCAAATTAATGTCATTATTCAATAACATGCAAGAGAAACTTGAGTTATTAAACAGTCACCAGAACTGTTGCCTTATTTTCTGTCAATGACTAATTCTGTCAACAGTATCAACTACTTATTTCAAGTGTCATAAATAAACGGTGTAGACTTTGTGGCACTCTCCTTTTTAAAAGTATATAAATGAATTGCAGTCCCCCTACATTTAAAGAAGGAATAATTCCTTAGTTATTTGTAATTGATTTTAATTATTTTTGTAAATCTTTATGTAAGCTCTATACACTCACTGTATGTTTACGTTTGTTTTTGTTTGGTTTTCTTCAACTTAATTGGTCAAACAAAACACAACAGACTATCTCAAAGCGTTCTGTTGTGCTGTCCGGCCACTTGGATTGATAGCTCTGATATATTGTTTTTTTAAACCTAGATTTCAGGTGGCCTTTCTGCCTGGTGATCCTCAGCGTGGTGTTGACTCCACCAGGGACAGCAGCAGCTGGACAGGAGGGATGGATGAGTCCATAAGTCCAGTGAAATCCGTCAAACCGTCTCAGACGAGAGGAGCCAAAGCTTTGTCCAGCGACAAGTCAAACAAAGACGCTGCTGCGCAGAGAGAGGGCCCCAGACCTGCACCTCGCAGCAAAGAACACCTCACCAGTGTGAAGGATGACCAGAATATAGGCGGCCAGGGGAGCCGTGGGCAAGGCAAAAGTACCACAGACCCTCCCCAGGAAAAGAGGAGGGGCCGGCCGTCCAGGCTGACTAGACTCACTGGAAGAACAAGTTCTGGAGAGAGAGGCAAAGGGGCAAACTCACAACAGCAGCTGAAGACACAGGTTCCTGACACCAGAGCCTCTTTTTCTGCAGACAGCAGCCCCTCAGCAAACAGAGAGACCACCTCTCCTGTTGTGACTGGTACACCTGAGGGGGCCCGCGCAGCACAGGCCAAGAGCTCCGTTATAACTCCTGCAAAGGAAAAGTCCAATGGTAGGTTCGCACAAGATTTTCCTGAGATGATTGTTTCTTCATCACCAAATGTGGGTCAAGTAAACTGCATGTTCTTTGCTGTTTGTAGCGGTGAGAGCTGCAACATTGATGCATCAGTCTGATGAGGCCACAGAGGTGAGACCCACCACGGAGGAAAGACCCCTAACAGAGCAACAGCTGGGCCTCCGACAGGCAGAGGAGCGCCTCTACAGAGACTACATCCACCGACTGCTCAAAGTAAATTACTTATCCATGTATACTAGGGCTGTCAAAATTACTCCAAAATGACGTTCGAAAATTCGCTCTAAAAAAACACATAGGTTCGAACCATTCGAATATATGCGCAGTGCGCATTATGTCAATAACAGGAGGACAAACTAATACGAGACATAACTACTTGTATAGGTATTTTTATTTCAGTTTTAACATAAAACATACTTACACATTACAAAAAATGTAAATTAACTAACTGTAAAACTTAGACTGTAAAAAAAGGCCGCTCTCGCTGTGTTTCGGCTACAAAACTCCGCGGAACTGATCCGAAACCAGCCCAAATTTGTATGAATAGTTCAACATACAAGAGTCTTTAAAAGATCTTCAGACTTGCATCTCAGGGGAAATACGAGTGCAGACGTGGTTGTATTGACAGAATATTTTAACATCAGGTCATGCTTATTCAGGTGCATATTGTAAATCCGTCCAACTTGCTGAGATGCCTGCACTCCTTCCTCCTCTTCCTCCTCTTCCTCCTCTTCCTCAAACATGTCTCCTACTGACTCAGCCTTCAGCAGCTCAGCAGGAACAGAATGGTGGATCCAAATCTTTTTCAGTGTAGTTTTCATCAATGAAAATCAGCCAGCGTCTGAAACGCTACTTTAAAAGTCTTTTTTGTACTTTTGCAAGCTGAGAGTGCTGAAAAACAAACTACATTTCCCACAATGCATTTCATCTTTCTCACAAATTGTTCAGAGATTCTCAATGTATTTCCTCAGTCACATGTCCTGAAAACAAAGACACCGTTTAAGATGTGCATATGTCTCATCCTGATCTAAAGAGAGAGGCGTACAAATGATCTTACAGGTATACACGTACAAATGTTGCATCAGGTCTGAATAGGTTGAACGTTAGATTCCTCAGAGGGCAAAATAGCTGGAGAGATAATTAGCGGTTGTGAGGTGATTAGCTGTTGAATTGATTCATAAATTGAAAGAAAATGAATCCGAACCAGTTTTGATAAATTGTCAGTAGTCATTTATCAGGAGGTGGGGTTTATATGATGTTATTGTCTGGAAGACAAAATCTGCAAACTGCAGGAGAACATGTCAACTGATGGTTTTTGCCTCTCCCTCTTTTTTGACAGCAGTCCCCCGAGTACCCAAACTACCAATACTT